TGGTGTAATTTCATTAATGACGGTTTATCACCGTGCGAAGCACGGGTTGGTTGCTAGTCTATTATATGCATAGAGACTTAGATCACAAAAATCACTTTTTTTTTTTTGGGTGCCAAATCTCTTGGAATTGAAAATAATTATATGTTATGGCCAGCGGAAAGAATTTCAAAGTTCTGCAACGGAATGCTTTGCCATTTCCACGTTGCACCTGACTTTTCAAAAACTCGTCACCCTAAAAAATAATACTTTAAAGATAAGAATTGAAGAAATTTAAAGGAAAGAAAGGAGGAGATAATGTACCTTCTGATTAGGTCTTTCTTGTTCTTTACGGCTTTTCAGAGAGGCTCTCTGAGAATTACTTGCACAAAGTCCTGGAGTTCCGCATAAATATTGCGTCTGATGGCTTCAGTAAAGAAGGTTTCCATCGAGACAATAAAACTTGCAGGCCTTAGATCATAGCAATAACCTCGATTAGCGCAAATTTGTCCTCTTCCGTGTAGTTGTAGCAAGTTGCCTGGGCAAAGGAAAGTCAAGGTTAAAAACAGCAAAGAGAAATTTACAAAGATTTAAGGAAATGCTTGAATAAAAATAGAATCTAAAGAGCTATCTGCATTAAGAAATACATTAAACTAACGAGACAACACATGAATTGAGAATTTAGAAAAATACACATTATCCACGGTGCCACTTTTCTTAGCTTTAAAGGCTGAAAACCTGGCACTTAACGATCAAAGTTCGGCACAAAGGCGCAGGCCTTCACTTAATTTTCTCAGAGAGGAGAAAGTTAAATGAATAACTTAAAAAAATAATTTGACTTGGAGGGGACATTCCAAGAATGGTGACGTACTTACTCTTTCATATTCTTCAGCTTCTTGTGGGCATTCTTTATTTTGATGATGATCTGTCGGGTGCAACAACTTCCTTGAGTAAAGCTCTGTGACAACACTACTCCATTCGGACAGCAATTGTAAACCACACAAGGCTAAATCGGCTGTTTCCTTGTTTTCCTTATCTGTTCTCATTTCTTTGAATGTTGTGTTAACCTTAAAATTAAGAAGAAGAATTAAGTCCAACCGCCATGGCTGTTGGCCATAGCTCGTTATGCTTATATTTCAAAACGAACGGTTGGACTATTGCTGAAACACACAGGGGACAAAATCTAGGATAAGGAAAATTGGATGGGAGCAGAGGACCGCTAATGCTGTTTCCTTCTGCATGGGAGATTCAAAGGGAAAGTTTATCAATCCAGATCTGTTGCAAGATAGGCATAGAGGCTACATTGCTTTCAGCGTTATTAACTATTCCCATGTCTTGTGCTTGTTACCTGAACGACTGCTAGGACATCCTTGGTTTCTTAAACTCAGGTAAACCCACCTCAGGCCCAATTTTACACACGGCTCCCCCATAAACCCCATGCTAGACACAATTGGTAGCATGCTTGATGCTTTCTTGGATATACTATGCATTCATGTCTCATTGTCTTAACATGATAAAACATTCTTGGTATACTGCGCAAGCAACCTCTATTACACGTTTTTTCCATTAAATATATGAACTTGGCACAAAAACAATTGGCAAAAGGCCTGAATGGTTCCCTTTCCTTTCAGTTCTTGTTTAGTAGAAAGGCAGTAAATCCTCATTTAACTTATTCTAGGGTTTTCAATTTTCACGGAGGCGGACGGATACAAAAATGAAAACTCAAAATTGCTGCCTTCCTCTGATTTGGATAGAGCAAGCCCAAAGAACCAATGCCTATTATGCACA